TATATATATATATATATATATATGTATATATATATATATATATATGATCGAGGTTATAAATTCATAAGTCTTGAGTGTTTGAGTGTTTGTTTCCACCATCGTTTTTTTTTTCATTTCTTATAGTTAAACTGCAAGGTTATATACATAAGGTTTTCTGATACCAAAATCAGCAAAAATTTAGCCAGTTTAACAATGAATGCGTAATAAATTGAATTATCTATCTCAAATATGTATATATAGGTTTTGAAATGAGTTTAAGATTACCAATAATTCGTGGAAGAGATTGACTTCTCTCAATGATCGGTCGGTTGGGAGAGTGTAATCATCTTCCACAATTCGTGGAGATGTGTCAGTTGGGAGAAGTTACAACTGATGGGAGTAGGACACGTGACATGTTGGAATTCGCACACCATAGGAAACGAATGGTCGTCAGACATAAGCCGTCAGATATTCCTTAATCTGAAGGTCTGGATTTGTCCGTTGGAGTCCCCCATTTCAACTATAAATAAAGGTGGTGTTCAACATCATTTTCATCACTACTTTCCTCTTTCTTTGTAGTACCGAGTGTTTCTTACTTCTTTCTCAAAGGTAATAATGTCTATCGTTCTATTGTCTTCATTTGAGGAGTCTGAAAGGAAGGGAGACTGTGGGTATGTCAATGGTGCATCATCATCATTAGTGTCGTCGGTCGGGTGATCCATGTTTGGATCAATCGAGCGAGACATAGAGTCAGGTGACCTGGAGACAAATGTAAATATTAATAATATCGTCGCTTAAGACAACCCAAGCGAGGTAGTTGCGATAGAAGTGGACGTCACAGGGAGTGACATGGGTCGTGCATGCCTGTCTCACTCGTTCCAGGGTACGGTTGGGTTCTTCATGAGGTTGGGGAGTATGTATCCTCTTTCAACACAAGATACTCTTTGAAGGAGTTTTCTGGTAGAGAGACCCTGGTTAGAGTAGTGGAGGACGCCAACCACTTCAACCTTGTTATGTGCAAAAAGAATGAACGAGTATTCTACGAGAAGGAAACTCCTGGGTACGAATTTTTCTATGCATACTCTTGCGTTACACTATGTAATTAATAGTAAATATGTTTTTTTAACATTTATTTTTTTTAATGTTTAAGGTTCTGCCTCATGTAAAGAATGCCGATGTATATAAATTCCTTGATGGGATGGTCATGCAGAAAACTGGAAATAGAAGCTACTGAGGTACAAAGAAGATATTTTGGAAGAAAATTTTAATTGTATTGTGCTCATTGCACAATAAAACTAATAGTTTGAAAATTAAAAAATATTTTAATTATTATATTTCTTATATTATAAAACTTAATATAAATAAATATAATGATTAAATTCAATTTTAACACAGATTGGCTTTTATAAAGCTCTATGGAAACATATATGAAGTTATGATGCTTTCACAAATCATTAGGAAGAAATTATAATAGAATGCACTTAATATAAATTATTTATCTTATAACTATTCAATTATAATATATAAAATATATAACCATTATTTATATTTAATTTGTCATATTCATCTCAATAAAGAAATTGAGTAAAAGTATATACAATTAAATAATATATACACATATATACATCTCAATGTAATGATACACATATATACATTCATATATAAATAATATACAATTAATTGAAATGCCTTAAATATTTAAATGTAAATTTAATCTTTTATTGATAAGATAAATATTTGATTATATTATGTAAAATAATTTCAGATTCATTTTTGCTAAGTACATTATGTTTTAAAAATTACAATAAAAAAAGAAACTAAAACCTACACTCATTGGATTGTCTTAGAGAAATTGTTGATTTAAGATTTAAAAAGCTATAGATTATAGTGGAAAGTGATAGATGAGGTGATTTGTAATGTAACAGAGATTTGAGATATTAAAAGTAGGAGCCTCCTACATCTGCGTATTTATTATAGCCATTATTTTCGAGACATTGGACCACAAATCTATTCAAATTTAAACGTTTTATAATCAATATAATATAGTACGAAATTGGACCACAAATTTATTCAAATTTAAACGTTGTATAATCAATATAATATAGTAAGAAATTGGACCACAAATCTATTCAAATTTAAACGTTTTGTGTGTTTAACATTAATTATTATGTCAAATAATGTGAAGATTATATTAAAATAAAAAATAATGCAACACTACTCATTTTTCAAGAAAAGAGTGCAAAATAAATATATAGAGAGAGAATAAAACACAATGAATACTTGCAAATTTGTGATAATGAAGGCAGTCTTACATGCACCAAAATAGAAAATAGACTACTACCGTCACACATCCATCTCATGACTTAAACATTCCAATGTTTCTTAAAAACATTTTCAAAATCCTTTAGCTGCAACAAAAAAGGAGAGTTTTACTAAAATTTCTCCAGTATAAACTTTTTCATTTTCTTTCTATTCTCAAAAAATGTCTAAACTTAAGAGAATATCTCGTCCATGCATAATTACACCTTTACACCTATTATTTATTTACTACGAAAAATTACAAAGAAGATTTGAACAGAAATCTATATTATATATTTTATTATGATCATATTTATAAAAAGAAAGTGGACTGTGTACCATCTCGATTCCACGTGTTTCTATGTATGCTCTACCGAAACTTATTATGCTTGAAATGTGTCCTCCGTTGCCTCAGCTTTAGTTGGTCGAATCTAGGTGTTGGCTTGCACTGTCTTCTCTTTGATGGAAATATTTTCAGTGGTTCCAACTACCTGTGTTTAAATGGTTCAACAGAATAGCCTTCTTTGCTGCAAGAATAATCCTTGTTAAAAGCCGTACACAAATATTCTTTTGTTTTGTGTTACCGTAATTTATGATGTCATGTTTCTATTGCAAAAACAAATGAGCCAAGATGTCATTGTAGCGTTATAGCTGATAAAGAAAGAAACAAAACAAACACGACAAGAACAATAGGATGGGAAATACAAAGGGACAAGAAAGGAAATCCGAACTAGTACTATCAAAATGAGCTCTAATTCAAATTTTAAATGATACTGGTAAGCTGTAAGCCTGTTAGTACGAATTCACCAGCAGAATTTGACAATCGCTACCTCACTTGTCTAAAGATACAGAAATCTAGTTAAAAAACCAAAGGGAAAATCCTCCTTTGCAAGTTCATATTCATTCAGATAAAGTAGTTCGTTAATGTCAACTTACTCGGCACTTTGTTTTCTTCAAGTTCTCCAGAAAATCAGCAATCTCAAGCTGCTTCATCACTGTAGCATGTAGTACCTGCATCAAAAGCATAAAGTTTAACCACCATCGTATCATATCAGCATAATCTAGAGATCTATATGACTGGAAATATAGACCAATACCCTCTTGGTCTTTTCAAGGTCAAACTCAACAGATTTTATCCTATCCATGGAATCCATGAGCATTTTCTCCTTCTCCTTCGGCATACCATCAGGTTTGTTGCTAAGTTCCTCGAAGACTTTTTCTATTCTCTGAAGACGTTGTATACACGGAAGAATATATTCTCTTTCAGAACCTGCTTCAGCAGCTGCTGAATGGTTATGAATGCTACGTTCCATGGTAATCGATGGGTGAATATTGTTCTGCGTTCTCCAAAATTCGAATGTTAAATAGCGGAGGAGTGTAACTAATTTTTCTGTGAAAAATGTCAGTACTCTTGCCACATATAAGACATTTATTTTCTCTACTTTGTCCTTAACAATGCCGAACCAACTGCTGCCAGAAGTACCTGAAAAAAATCTAGTGAGTTTATTAGATAAGGACACTACTGAAATAATTGCCAATTAAATCAGTTATACCTAGCACGAACGTAGCTATTATGAGTTTGCAACTTCCACATGCAAATAAGACAAGGTATATCTGCAACTTGGGTTCTAAACAGCATATAAATATAATTTTTTGAACAATCTCATGACAATACCTCCTGAATCTGTTCTACAAGCAACATTTCCTACATCATTAGTTTGCGCTGGCTGCTCTTGATTAAGGCGAAAATGATCACTTTCAATCACTTTCTCCACTGCTAGAGAGCCATCACAACTGTAGTAGCCATTGAGATCTGGTACTTTAACCTACAGAAGATATGGCCTTAGATTTGACTAAAAACTCAAGACAAAACTACAAATATCTTGCATACAGGTAAAGACAACAATGAGGAATCTCGGAAAAATCAGATTCAGAGGTTCCAGTTCCAGGCTGTACTTCTTCACGAACTGGGGCTAAATAAGGATATGGACAACTGCTGTATCTGTTGGGAGAGGAGTATTCATTCATATCAGACCCCGATTCAGCTGTTGATGTATCACAGCATCGTTCCTGGGAGATGAGAAAACAAGGTTTAGAACTCCATATATCTAAAGCAAACACTTGTGATGTCCCGACTTCTCAATGCCAAGAAGACCAAGACTTGCCTTCAATGGATGGTGCATTTGAAAGGAGTCAAATTTGTGTTGTCCATCAGGTAATTTAATGATTTGCCTCACAAATTTTGCCTCCTCATTATGTACCAGCTAAAGATCAGAATATCTAACATTAGTTAAACATATACTAGTTTGTTGGATAAGGCAATTCCAAGTTGTATATGCTTTTAAAAAATCTGACACTTGCAAATACTAAGAAACAAGATCTAGAAAGAAATATTACCTTCATGATGTCAGGATCATTCCATGGGCCCTTGTTAGACCGAAGACATCCACCTTCTGAGGCACATGTACAAGAACCACCCAGAAAGTCTGGCAACTGACTGCATAGATTCGTTAACAAAATCCAAATTAATCAATAGATTAAATAGAAATGCAGTATGGTGAAAACATGGATGTATACCTAAAGTCAATGACTTCCAGTAATTTATATAAAGACTTAGGTTCAACAATCTGGAAATTTGGGAAATAAATATAGAGTCAGTTCTCCACAGAAATACATCTTATGAAATCTGAGTTCAAGCTAAAAGGTTGAATTATTCACCTGTATCTTAGCAACAGTTTTGGAATCAAGAAACTTCTGTGCAGCAGGCCAAAGCATCTTCTTAAACCCAGAACCAGCATTGACAATATACATTTGATGCAATGTCTGTAGATATACACTACAAATTTTTATTGAAAAAAAAATGGAGGGACGTAAAGAAGTTAATTGGGAACAGATGGGACAAAAACCTCAGGATAGTAACTGCTATCTATTTTTGCCATAGCAGACAAGAGATTTGCAGCAGTACGTGAGAAATTTTTCATTCCCTGCATCACACATATTAAGTGCCACACAAAATTTTAGCAGAAAAGCTTTTCAATAACTTAAACCAAGTATGCTCCTGTCCTAAAATTGAGAACAAGTCAATCAGGAGAGATTACCACAGCAAATACAATGGATTTTAAATATTTTAAGCAGACATCGTATTTGATATAATGCATACAGGGATTTGATAAAATACATAAAGGATAAGTACGTAAATAATCTACAACCAAAATACAGCATAGACTATCAGGCATACAAAAAGAAACAACAACAGAAATACACAAGATATTAGTGATATGGCTTGCAAATAATTGTGTAATGCAACATACCAGGCCCTGTACATCCAATATTGTTGTTGTCGAAGAAATCCGTCTCTTTGCTGCAATGGAACAAGCTGGAAATTTCTCATGCAGAGCCCTCTCGAACTCCTGGACATGATATTTCAAATATCGATCTATTGTAGTGATGCGCATTAGGCGACTTGGATGGGCTTTCCCAAGTCTCTCAATGTAAACTGGCCTACCTTCCCTATCAATCCCATGGTAACCTTGAGGATAATACTGCAATACTTCTTCCAGCTCTCCAAATGCAAAATCCTTTTAAACATCATTATCACATTCACATAAAATCAGATAGAATGTGTATAAGTATATTCTAGGGTAGATTTATGCTGATGCAGAAACATTCAAAGATTAAAAGAGCAAATAACTCTGTTCTATCAAGGACCAACTCTCCTAATAGCTTAAGCCATTAGGTAAATGAATAGTTTTAACATGTCCCTTCACATAGACTACTCGTGCTTGATGCACGGACAGAATTGGGATAGTAGCACAAAGCTGTTAATCACATGATCATAAAGACTCTAATATTGTCAAAGCCCAGCTCTCCTAAAAGCTTAAGCTATTGGGTAGAAGGCTGAAAGCCCACCAGTGGTTATATTTAAATCTAGCAAGCGTCACTTGAAATGAAGAAAATACAAATTTTGTCTTGCAAAGTTATCTGCAGAAGAATTAAGCAGAAATGGCGGAACTGTTCTTGACCATTTTGCTTAGTCATAAAAGCGTAAAAAATACCATGCCAATGACCAATTCTAGTGAGAGCATAAGCAATGAGATGAAAGTTCATGGATGGTTTTATGTCTAACTTGTTCAAATTAAAAAACAAACAGATAAAATTCATAAATACATAATCAGATAAATAAAGGAATCGTGTTGCCCTTATATACACTGAAACATTCTGCAGTCTAAAGCAGCCTATATATCTTTCATGGCTATGACAAATTATTATCATTACCTCAAGGATAGTATCAGTTCCATATTCCTTTCGCCATGCAAGCATTTCCTCCCACATCTGAATTGTCTTCTCAATGTTAAACTCCCTGGCTTTAAGAAACCTAACAAGAAGTAGAAATCACCATAGCAAGAGCGAGTCAAAAGACAACATTAGATATTTGTATGTGAACCTTTTGAATTGATCATATACCTTAACAATGTATGGTAGTCATCATGCCTAGGAGGCAAAGAACCCCTTTCAGCAAGTTTTTGGCGCAATTCATGGACAGCAGTCTCCTCCCCAGCGTCTCTCACATCCTCAATAGACACAGGGGGAATCCTGTAATCAATTTTCCGTTTCCCTCTTTTCTTAAGAGAATGAGTGAATCTGGAAGAAGCACTCATCGCCTTCTTCTTCAAGGTCCCAATTCTCGACCACCTCCTCTCGTCTTCGGAGTTCTCAACATCAGACCTCCTCTCTCTACTCTCGTCATTACTACATTGCCCTTCAAATCCTGCCACATAACATTCCATCAAAAACCATTGAAACAAAACATCATCAGAAATGCAATTTACTCACACGCCCACACACTAATCATCACAATATACACAAAACAGAGCAGAAAATACCTGATATAGACATTTTAGTCTAAACACAAAACAGATCACAGGTGATGCGCAACAGTTGAATCAGCGAATCAAGTTCATACCAAACTCCGCCATATCATAAATTACTGCTCCAAACACACACAATCAATAATTCAAAATCATAACAAAAAAAAATCCATTAAAACACAGAACTAGTACCTAATTGTATGTCACTGAATTGTAAGGTAAAAAAACTGGTAAAATTAAAAATAAAATAAAATGCAAAATGCAGATTCATCAAACTAAATGAAATGGAATCAAACAATCTAGAAATGAAACTAACAAGGTGTGAGAAAGAATCGTCCCTCATGAACCTTTTTCTAGCTGTTTCATTCTTCAACCAAAATCAAAAGCACGAAAGCCATAAAACTAGCAAAAACACAAACAAAAACTCTGAATCCCAAAACGGCGTTTGGCAGAGCGAAGATTCTCCCCGATTGCAGTGTACAAATGGAGAATGTTAAGAAGTTGAGAAAAAGAAGAGTTTATATTTATTTATTTATTTATTTTCTCTTATTATTTATATTTAAATTAAGAGGTGTTTTTTAATGAAGTGAGAGATGTGAAGTTCGTATACACATGAAACATCATACATAATTAATGCCATGCTTTGGATCTGTGGTGGCATATATTAACACCAATTTCACAAGAAATAATCTCATTTTTTATTTCAAATGAATTTCTAATTAATAATAATAATAATTACTATTATTATTATTATTTCATTATAAATTTAAATTTTGAAAAATAAGAATAGAAAATGAACAGATAAGAATATATGATGTACATGAAGTTAGAGAGATGAGACATGCATATCATCCATGATACATACCTTTTAGAGAAAAGAGAATGGTGTGGAAGGTAGATCCTTCTCCTTCTTTCTACTGTTCATCTCTTTATTCTTTTTTTTTTTAATTATACAGACAAAAAAAATTAAATTATTAACATGGTAAAATAAATCTTCATTTTAACAATAAATACTTACTAAAATGAAAAAAATGATAGAAGGCCAAAAACAATGTAGTTAGTAACTAAAATTGTTAATTTCTAATTTAAAAATTGGTTTGATGGCACCACTTTAATCTTTTTAGAACAAACTAGAATAATATTAAACTGTTAACAATGATCAATTTATATATAATGTTGGTGGAAAATAATTACACAAAAATGTATGTATTATTTTGAATTTAGTATTTTAAAATATTAAATTTATAGATCTCTGTATTTATAAATATTTAATTGTTGTTATTTTTATTAAAGTGAAACTTAAATTTACACTTATACTAGTAATAATAATTAACCAGGATCACAAGCAAGCTTTATTTATTTAAAATACTTTCTAAATACATTGTAATATTAACAAAAAAAAATATATTAATAAATATGAATATGGATATAAATAATATTTAAATTTTAAATATCATAAGAAAACATAATTTATTACATAAATTAATTTTATATTTATATTGTTTTAAATTATTAAAATATTTTAAAATTTTATATAATTATAATTTTCATTTATTATTTGGTATTTTAAAGATCATATGTTATAGAAAAAATAAATATAAAGTTTTATTTGATTAATATAAACTTGTTTAGTTGATATTTATAAAGAAGAAGTGACATTGAAGTTATAATTTGGTTGAAGTATTGATGTGAAGTGACATGTAAAAGTGGAAACCAAAATGCATTAAATGGAGAAAGAAAAGAAGTTAATAAGAAATAAAAGAAATTAAGAGAAAAATAGAAGTGATAATAGTGAAATGCAATGTGAAGTTGCCAGCGTTTGGCATATGTTGCTGTAGAAATCGTCACAAAAAATTCGTGTCATGTCATCTTTAATGGGACTTTGTATTATTATATTAATTTTATTATTTGTGGGAAAGCGCTGTTTCCACTTTCGGTTTCTTTAGAAGTGTGATGGTCTTACGTGTCCAAATACTTTTTTTTTCTTTTTTTTATTTTATTCTATTCTCTCTTTTTTACTTTCTTACTACTATCCTCTTTCCTATTTATTATTACTCACTCTTATTGTACGTGAGTTTTTATAGTCCACAAAAATAAACATTTAATTACATAATTCAAATTTATAATAAATAAATAATTTATATATGTAAATTATATTTTAGATTTAGAATAATTTATTTATATTATTGTACAACATTTTTATAAATATTAAAACTTAATTTAAAATTAAATAATAAATTTAAGGTTTAATAGGTTCGGAGGTCCCTATATTTGGGGGTTCGTTTCAATTGGGTCCTCCAATTTTGAAAGTGATCAATTAGATCCCTAATTTGGTAAATGTGATTCAATAATAGGATCTGCGTTAAATTGAGTTAACTCTGTTAACTTTGTTATGAAGTGGCAAGCTGAGGATAATTGTTATCCTCGAAAAACATGATTTGGTAAGGTTTACAAATATCAATTATCCTCGAAAAACATGATTTTGAAAGTGATCAATTTAACGGAGATCCTATTATTATTGAATCACATTTACCAAATTAGGGACCTAATTGATCACTTTCAAAATTGGAGGACCCAATTGAAACGAACCCCCAAATATAGGGACCTCCGAACCTATTAAACCTAAATTTAAAATATAAACCACGGTGGGTAAAGTACTGTGAAAACTGCTCTCAAGGTTTATGCATCGAGTTGGTGAGAGTAGAGTTTGGACAATATCGAATTGCCAAAAGTGGTAGTGGATGTTAGGTGTAATACAATGGATATTGGACGGTGAGATTGTATCGTTGGAAAAGGTGGAGAGAAAGAAAATGATTTGGATTAATACGTAGTTATTTTGGAAATATTGTTAACACCAACTTAATATAAGAGACATTAAATCTTTTTAAATAAATGAAAATTGAATTGAGGAAAAAAAAAATTAAGGGATCACATTCAATCAAACCTCTAAATATATGGACCAAAACATTAACTAAGCATATTTGAAAAGTTTTCTTTAACAAAATTTTCATGAATGTTAGAAAATATATCACCAGATCTTTCTAAAACAAGTATTCTCAGACATCAAATGAGTGATAAAGATCGAGATATCTAGATAATATATTGCATGATCAAAGTCTACCATATATACTAAATTTTCTAAAGCTTCAAAAGGAGAACAAGTTAAAAATTGAAGACATAACCTGTAACACATCTCTTATTTTTGATGTGTTATGTTCTTTTAGGTTGAGAGAAAAATTATGTAATATTTCACATTGTGAAGCTTTTCTAAATGAGATTTAATTGTACTCTATGTGAGAGTGTCTATTTTCACTAATTTATTGTAAATTTTTAATCTTATTTGGAGATTAAAAAGCGGTAACTTTTATAGGCTTATGTACTCATTATAACCTAAAGAGGTTTATGTATTCTTTGTAACTTGTGTTTGATTAATAGAATCTCTCAAGCTCAGTGCTTAAGAGAGAAGAACTAGATGTAGCATGTGAGTATATATGAATCAGTATAAATATTTTTTCGTGTTTGTTCTTTATACTAGACATCAAATCTAGTCTTGCATGAAAAGTGTCTATAGACTTTATTCAACTCTAAAGGTGCATTTTTTTCATCACAACTAAGATATGATCCAAAATTTTCTAACTACTTAATGTTAAAGGTGCAAGGGTGTTATGTTTATTATCATGTATATATAAATATGTAATTATTAGTGGATATGTGTTTCATGAAGCCTTACTGATACATCCATAATTTGAGGAGACGCCATGAGAAACATTTAGAAGTCTAAGGAAGTTCAAAAAGAAGTGAATTTCTCTCTGAAGGAATCATCTGATAGGCTAGGCACCCAACCATCTAATACAAAAACAATCATGAAGTCTAGAAACATTTGCTTGAAAGTCTCAAAGACAATGAGACAACATATGAGATATGACTCTAGTGGTTGTTTGACCTATGCAGCAAAAGAGGTGAACTTTTCAAAATCAACGACATTTCATGAACCAATTTCTTATATTATGCATGACATTTAGATAATTTTCATGCAAAGGAGATAAAGTTTTTATAAAAGATTATGACTTGAGAGTTGGATAAACCATTTAAAGACAAAAATATTATTGATTGCAAGTAATTCTTCAAGAATAAAAGCACTTCTATAGTGTTTGATGATAAAGCATTATAGTCCATGGGTCACAATTTAGTTTGTGGTAGGGGTGACAAAGTGAGTCAGGCTGGCCAGCATGCCAATACAACAAAAAATAGATAGATCAGGTCAAATATTTTAACACACTAACTTGAAACAATCCATTATACACAGCCAACCTATTCAATCAACTCATAGGTCAAGGCAAAACAATCCACTGTCTGTTTTCAACACATGTTACTTTTGTTAAGAATGTTTTAATTTCAATTTCATGTACTTTTATTCTTACCCTTCTATATGTTTATCTTTTAAGTTGTCTATATCTACATATGTTTTTTGTTTAAAATTTTTAATATCAACTTGATGTGCATGGAGATTATATTCCAATTATACATTTTATTTTAAATTACTTATTTATATGTGAATATTTTATTTCTATTTAGAATGTTTTAAGTTCAACTTTATTTTACTTTAATTCCATATTTACATTATTGAGCAAGTTGTACATTGACATTTAACGTCAGAATGCAACCAAGAAATGAAAGTGGTTCAGCATTAAAAGAGCTTCGTCAAATATTGAGATCATTTAGCATATTATATATTTACTTCAATTAAAGGAAATATATATATATATATATATATATATATACATCTATATATATTCTCTAATGTTACATAATAATACATCAAAAGATATAAAATAAATCAATACTACATTATTATGACCTTATATATGTTTTAGTTATGAATAAAGTGTAGAATGCAATGCCCAAACCATTTGTGATTTAGGTGCAAATATTCAGTTTTGTGAAATAGAGGGATAAATAGTTAATTTGTTCTCCTATTCTATTTTAAATAATAGTTTATTAGGAACATCATTATTAGATGTGAAATTGTGTATAACACTTGTTAAAATATTCTCTTTGGATGCAAATATTAGAAGTGATGATTAATTGTTAAAAGAAGTACAATTGTGTATTAATATTTAATATTTATCACTGGAAAAATTTGGCTTAGTTTTTTTTTCGTAAAATCTTAATAAATTTAAAACTTCGATTAAACTGGATTATAATAATTGAACATAAAAGTAGATAATAATTTATTATATATATATATATATATATATATATATATAAACTTTTGGAAAAGAATAAAAAATATTAGATTTATAATAAGATTGTTGGACTTTATGTTAATGATCGACATTTATTTGAAATGAAATGGGTTATAATAATATAAAAAGATTGGATATAACATATATTTTGTAAAACCTAAATAAACAAATCTAATTTTATTATTTAATAATTTTTTTATTTGTATTTTGAGATGTAAAACATCTGTTTCACATTTTCAAAAT